CAACAAGGGCAAGTGCAATCGCGAATCCAAGGGCAACAACGGCAACAATAAGAACAAGCAAGGGCATGGAGGCAAGAATCGTGGTCAAGACCGCTACAAGGATCGTCCGTTGGAGTCTGACAATGACGACGACGACGAAGATAGCGATTCAGGCAACAACCGTAAAGTGTCTCGCCAAGAGCGCCGCGAGTCAGCTCGCATTGCAGTAGTTACTACAATCAACCCTACATTCCGCCTCACTGCTCAAGCCAAGGTTGAACCCGACCCTATCTGAACGATTGACGCTGGCTGCACGGGCCATGTGGATCATGAAGCGCAGGGGTTCACTGACATCACTGTTAGTGGTGATTCGATCACGGTTGGCGGCAACAACCAGATCCCTATCGAAGGCATTGGACGTGTTGAACTGGAAGTCATTGGCTCCAAGGGCAAGGTACAGAAGCTCAGTCTTGATGGCGTCCTGTATGCTCCCCAGCTCCAATTCAGCCTGCTGTCAGTCCCTGCGGCCGTGAAACATTTTCGTTTCAACTTTGATCGCAAACAGTGCGCTGTGCCAACTGATCAACGGTTTAAAATCAAGGCTCTCATGGCTACCAGCTCGGATCTGCACCAGTTCCAAGCCAAGCCCGTTGCGCATCCACCGGCGCTTGTTGCCTCAGGTAAGCAACGTTCCTTTCTGTTAATACACAAACGCCTTGGCCTTCTGAACGTTCGTGTCTTGAATGACCTATCTAGGAGCCAAGCCATACATGGAGTCGATGGATCTACACCTTTAGGTCTCACAACAGATTTTTCTGTGTAGCCTGCACGTTAGCGAAGTCACACCGCTCGCCGTTTTACTCTAATAGAGTTGTTAAACGCGCTACCTCTCTCTTGTCAAGAGTGCATTCAGATATCTATGGTCCACTATCTGTGTCTAGCCTTACTGCTTGGCGCTACTTCTTGATCTTCATCGATGACTTCTCTCGATTCATGTTCACTTATCCAATTAAGACCCGTAGCCAACTTTATGAGTGCTACGAAGATTTCAGGAAGAAAGCCCTGAACATTTTTGGGCAAGACATCTCCGTCATTGAATACACATTCAGCGTTGAAGAAGATGTAACGCAGAGCAATTTTGAAGTTCAGAGACTTCAAGCAGATAATGCGAAAGAATACGAGAAGCTCGATCGCATCATCTTTAAGAAGTATGGGACTCACGCTCAATTTACCAATGCATATACTCCTCAGCAAAACGGGTTTGATGAACGACGCATGCGCACCATTATGGAGCGTGTTCGAGCCCTTCTACTTGACGGCAAACTACCCAAGCAGTTGTGGACAGAGTGTGTCTGTCACTTGACTACTCTGATCAACATGACACCTAGCTCCAAGACGATCGGCCGAACCCCGTACGAGCTTTGGTACAACCACACTCCATCTATGCAGTATATGAACGTTTTCGGATGTAGCAGATATGTCCACATAACGGAGCAATATCGAGACAAACTTGATGCTCGAGCCCGTTTGTGCATGTACCTCGGTGTACCCGACCACAAGAAAGGATATCGATTGATGGGTGTATATAGTCAAAATGTAGTCTTTAAAGAGGATGAATTTCCCCCTCTCACTGGCCTGACGACTACACCAGTGCCAACACAGAGCACGAGCACTCAGCTACCTGAACATACAACTGCTAGTGCGCCTGAGCCTGAACCTGAATCCGAACCTGTGTCAGTACCAGCATCGTCATTTCCCTCATGTCCTGCGATGACTACTGCACCAGGCACAGAGAACAAACGTGTACTGCCTTTACTAAGGGAGGCTATTGATGAACAGTCATCCATTACTCGTTTCGGGCGGAGACAGACTCTAAACCTCCGCAACCTTCAGCTTCTAAACGACCCCGCCTTACTGCGGAAGCTACCGACACATCCCTCACCTCAGAGGGAGACACCATCGTAACCTTTAACTCTGAGGAAGATACCCGTGAACAGGAGCAACGTCAGCATTTACTGTACACCTTACTAGCTGTTCGGTATGTGTCAGAGCCCGCTACGTATCGGGAGGCTATGACATCTTCCCACGCTAGTCAGCGGCATAAAGCAGCTAAATCAGTATACAAGTCCCTCATGGACAATAACACTTGGGTGTTGGTAACCCCTACAAAAGGACGGAAGGTTCTAACTAGCCGATGGGTCTTTGTAGTGAAGTATACCGGCACCGGCGAAATCGACCGCTTCAAAGCGCGTCTAGTGATCAAAGGATTCCTACAGTAATATGGCATCAACTACAATGAGATTTTCTCCTGTCATCAGGATGGAAGTTCTCAGACTACTGTTTGCCGTAGCAGCTCTTCTTGACCTTGAAGTCCACCAAATGGATGTGAAGACAGCATTCCTCAACGGCTATCTTGAAGAAGAGATATACATGGCTCAACCGGAAGGATTCCAAATCCCGGGCAAGAAACATCTTGTATGCAAACTCCTAAAGAGTCTTTACGGGTTGAAGCAAGCTCCCCGAGTCTGGTACCAAACCCTATCTGCCTTCCTTGAAAGTCTTGGATTCTTAAAACTGATTAAAGATCGTTGTGCTTTCCGACGCACGGTTACCGAAACACATGCTACATTGCGGTGTCCGTCGACGATCTATTGATCATAGCACCCACGCCAGCTCTCATACAGGAGCTTAAATCCGCGCTGAAAAAGATATTGTCAATGATCGATTTAGGGGAGGTGAAGTACTTACTCGGCTGGTCCATTCAGCGTGACCGTGACAACCCAACGGTATTTATCCACCCACACAAGTACGCTACGAAGGTCCTTGACCGCTTTAGCGGCTAGATCCCTTTTTCAATTGCAACACCGGCAGACCGGAACGTTAAACGCTCCGAGAACAGCCAACCTAGCAGTGAACCAGAGAAAGATGCGATGAAAGACATTCAGTATCGCCAAGCCGTAGGTAGTGTCATGTACTTAATGGTAGGCACTAGACCCGACATGGCATTCTACATGCGTGAAGTCAGACAATTCCTAGCTAATCCGGGAATGGAGCACTGGAAAGCAGTCATTCCCGGACACAAGTATCTGTCAGGAACCAAAGACTATGGTCTTCTTCTGGGAGGCTCGTCCGACATCACACGTGAGAATCTAGCTGAGCTTACAGTGACTCGGACTACGCCAACTGCCCCGACACAAGACGTTCTGTCGGAGGTTACGTTACTATGGTAGCAAGCAGTGCAATCTCATGGCTTTCACGAAAACACCACACTGTGATTCTCTCTACAACAAAGGCAGAATATATCGCCATTGTCACTGCATGCAAGAGATGATATTCCTCAAACTTCTCCACTCAGGCCAATACTATTTACGAGGACAATCAGAGCTGTATTAAAATTTCCTACAAACACGAACTACACGGACGATCTAAGCACACTCACGTAAGATACTGCTTTGTGCAAGAAAAAGTAGAGCGACACGAATTCACCGGCACTTATTGCAATACAAAAGAGATGATAGCTGACATCTTCACGAAAGCTTTAGATAAGCATCAGTTCAGAGAACTAAGGGCCAAGCTCAGGTTAAAACCCCTGAAAGCTGGAAACGGCCACTAAATGTAGAGTTACTACGGTAATATAACTGCATGAAGCGTATCTACCAATCGCGTTCTTTTAAAAAAAAATCCTCACTGGGTTTTATCTTCTTTTTTTTGTTCGCACAAGCTTTTCCCTCGTTGAGGTTACCCTGGTCAAGTACCGAATTATCTAGACACATGAGTTCAAATACAAATTACCATGCACAAAGCGATTATTTGCTGGGAAAGTTCATTATCGGTTAGGCAAACCCGCGGAAATCCTACCGATTCCTATCGTCTACTTAAAGACCTTGAACGGACGCAGAAATGCATCCACCGCTTCGCGGACGAGATCGGCTTACCTTCCTTCAAGTCGTAGATGAGGTGCTTGGTTCCTTGAATAGTCAGCACTGCTGCATGACCGATGTGGTGGTGATTGTAGGCTCCGACAATGTTGATACCGTCGTCAATCGGGATTTCTTCCAAAACCTGTGCACCACGCCGGCCTGGAATCGCATGGTTTATGGTGGCAATCTGGTTGTAGGCGAAGTCGCGACCAGCATCCCGAAGTCGACCCAGAAAGCGAGGTACAATCTTCCATCTTGCACCCTGCCTGAGGTCACGTCCGTAGCAAACGAGCTCATTGTCGACAAACTGGTCGGTATCCTGTTGCGTGATGATATCCGGTCTTCCTGCCAGTTCTGAGGCTCGCTTCAAAGCGTTAAACACGCATAGGCGGTCATCGGCTGCTCCAATCAATCCATGCCATCTTCTCT